CAGCTTCATTAGCACAGGGTGGTCCTCCTCCATCGTTTTTAGATGAGTCTGTGTATGAATTGATGCTAACACTGGAAGTCAACCTTGACCAACTTGATGCTGAAACACATTTCACTCCTAACGTCAAGGAACTCTTTGAACAAATAAGAAACTGTGATTCATTTGATGATAGCTTGAGAGACGCAATTTTAGACCATGGATACACTGGCCCATTAGACAAGACCCATCAAGATGACATTATTGGAACTATTCAAGTGAGCATAATAAGCAAGCGCTTACTCTACTTGAGAGAATTCTGCGAGGGGCTCAAAAAGTGCAATGTGTATGCACTCGTTTAAGATAATGCTGCCCTCTGCAAGGACCTGTTTGTGCGAAATACAAGTGGTCCTGTGGATTCAGATTATGTTTTTTCACTGGTTTCACCATATTATTCTGCAGAAGGAACATCTAGACGGGAGCTTGAGGAGGCAGTCATGGACAATTTTCAAGATTTCTTATCAACTGTGGAAGATAACATCACGGGCTACACAGAAGCACTAGCTTGGAATGAGAAGGACACCATTACAGATGAAAATGACATTCTGGAAAATAAGAAGTATCAGGCTGTGGACGTGAGTCCAGCCGCAGTTCTTGGCTGGTTAACAGGACAAAAACATCGCCCTGTAAATGGAGAACCGCTTAATATAACAGCACATTTCGATCACGATTGCAAGGAGAGAAATCCCGAGCACACCATCTGCTTTCCTCAAGTTGGAGCATGTAGCAGGGAAATTACATTTCCTGTGGCACACATGACTGACGTGAAAGAGTTTGAACACGTATTCCTTCTGGCTCTTTGCAAAGGTGGTGCATTTTCAAATGCATGAAGCTCCTAGCTCCACAATTGATTACAAAATATTGTGAACTTGTAGATTAAAGTTTTATCAGGGAGGTGGGATGGTTTTATCCAACAAGGTATCATTAAGTTCTATTTGTGTTGTTCCTTCCAATATTTCAACTTTGTCTTGTCAAACACCAGAAAACCTTAAAAAGCATTCAAAGAATTTCATGTTACAGTTCAGTAATGACGTTTTGTTTTGTTGTTGCCCAGTAATTAATTTTCAATTGGCCATTAAATGAGATTACATAAAACACTCAGGGAGATTTCCCTGTAAAAGTCTCATAGGTTTAGCTCTTAACTGTGTCACATAATTAGGATTTGGTGATAATTATGCAGGTAAATGTTGTTTAATATTGCAAATAAGTTAACAAAAAATTTGTGTTACGCAAACATTAATGCTATAGATGAATAACAGTGCCTTATTATTCTCAAACTCATTGGGGTTATTTATATCATGTTAATACAGCTAGATTAAAAGTTTGAATAGCAGCTTTATTGGAATTTTTTGTTATGTTTTATTTTAAATTTTTTAAAAATTATTTTTCAAATACTAGCGTCTTCAAGATGTGACTTTTAACTCCCATCCACCAGAAGTGCTGTGCATTTTCTGTATTTCCACATGAGCAGTTGCATTGGTTTTTATGTTTTTAAACATTATGTAATATTATTTTATGCACTGTCATCATTTTTCACATATTGGGGTTTTCATTATGTGAATTTGAACTCTCACATATGGTCCTGAAACTAATTTTTTTCACCATGTTACCTGTTGCGGATGATTAAAACTATTTGTTTTGGCCAAAAATTGAATTTTCCTGGAGTAAACTTACCAATGGTTAATGTATCAATTTCTACATTCAAAGTTAGTCCCTGAATTTTACTAAAAAGTTTTTTTTTTCTTTTTTTTTAAAGAGATTATTACAGAGTATAGCCATCTATGGAGGTCTCGTGGTCTGATGACAAGCTCAGATATCAAAATAATAGATATTACTGCCTTTTTTGTGCTAAAACAGAATATATTATATTTCTATGAGTTGTTTACAATGTCTTGTTAAACAGTTATTATCCCTAGTGTTGATTGTGCTCTTATTAACATTATTTATTGTTGTATCAAAATTGACAAAATGACTTATTTTCTGCATCTTTTTAAGGTGTGAAGACCTTTACTAGCCACATTTGTAATTTTCCCTTGGGTATAAGTTCAATGCTGTAAATTCAATTAAGATTCAAGTGGCCATTAAATGAGATTACGTAAAACACACTTGTTGATACCGTAAACTCCAATAGGTTAAGTTCTCTGCCAGATCAGTGTCCATAATAAGGAAGCAGTGATAATTTATGCAGGTAAATATTGTTTAATATTGCAAACAAGTTTTCAAAAAAATATATATATATTTTGTGTAGTGCCATCATTAATGCTATATATGAATGACAGTGCTTTATCTATCCTCAAACTCAATGGGGTTATTCATACCATGTTAATACAGCAAGATTGAAAGTTTGAACAGCAGCTTTATTGGAATATTTTTTTTTCAAACACTGGCATTTACATGTCTAGAAACATTTGAATAAGCATTAAATGTTGAGTGTGTAAGATGGGATTAACAGTTTAAGTGTACCATTATGTTTCAAGAGCAATAATATTGAAAGAAATGTAAGTTCTTGAAGAATGACATCAGTTGAAGTTGTTCTGGCAGAGTTGGCATGTTTAAGGAAACAAGTTACATGTTCAGGTACTAGCTGTCTTTTTGCACTTACTTGTATGTTTGTGGGTTTTAAGGTTCAGTTTGGTAATCTTAACCTTTTCAATGGTTCTGAATTCAGTACGAGTTCTAAACTTGACTAAATTGTATTTTAAAAACCTAAGAGTTGTTATGATAGAAAAAAACTAAGAATACTATGAACATATTAAAGTAGTAAAAACTGTTCATTTTGGCCAAAAAAAAAAAGAATTTTCCTGGGGTTAACAACAATTGTCTAAGACTTACCAATGTATAATGAATCCATTCCCACATTCAAATTTAGTTCATGGTTTTTTATGTACGGACGTAGTCTGTATGCACTGTCATGATTTTCATTATGTGAACTCTCGTGGTCCTGAAACTAATCTTATGGCAGGGGCGGATTGAGACCGTCTCCTGGGCCTTTTGGAAGATGGTCAGATTTTAATGTTTGCATTGACAAGTATTTCTTTTTTGTTAGAAGACCATCAAAAAAAAAAAGGACACATCAACAAAGATAATTTGGAATGCTGTCAGAAACCTCTCCTAGCTGTTCGCTCCTGTTATTGACCATGTTTTCTATTGTTCATGATTAAAATTCAGTGTTGATTGACAGCATTATTTATTGCATCAAAATTGACAAAATGACCTATTTTCTGCATCTTTATTTTCTGTTTTTTGTCTGTACATTTGACAGCTTTGCTATATGAAGCTAATATGAAGATTGCATTTGTGTTTCTCTAAAGTAGAAAAAAAATAGAAAAGTTACATAATATATAACAAAAGACAAGCATGTTCTGTTATACAAAAGAATTGTTAGTTTGTAGCCCAGATTCTGTATCTAAAACTGCATGTGATGTTAAAAGTTGGCCTTCAGGAATAAAAATAATTTTACCAATAAAATTAAATTAATGTAACACACTGATATCAGACAACCGATCAAAACGCTTTCTACAAAAGTTTAGTTAACCCATGCCACCTGATCTAATTGCATTCCTAGAATACCACACCTTACGGTAATGTGCCATGAATTTCGAACAGTAAAAAATAATTAAATTTGGGAAAAGATCGTTCTGGCCGAAATTCATGAAAAGGAGGTGCTCAGAACTCCTGAAAGTTCGAATTTCATGGAATTCTGTCAATTTTGACCGGAAGTTGTCTGTTCGTCGCTAGGCCTTCTGTTATCTTCTCCCGACGATCTATTTAGAGTTACCATAATGTATGATGTGTGAGTGTCGGTAATTGCGACCAAAGGTATACACGTACTTTCACCCGATCACTGTGTATGGCCCATAGATAGAGCGGTACTCTTGTCTAGGGCCGCAAAACAGCATTGTTATCAGTAGTGTCGTTTTTCAAAAGCGATTCTGGCAGCCAGAAACTAGTGTCGTTTTTCAAAAACGATCCTGGCGCTCAGAACGGGAGTGGACGGAGGGAGAGACGGCCGACGATTAGCGTCTGCCACGGCCAGATAACCTTTACTATGGAAGC